GCACCTTTGGGACAACCATGGCCTGGATGACTGAGAATCTGTACAGACTTTGATCCTGGAGGTTGTTTGGGGCATACACAGAGCTCAAAGTATCACAAATGGTGATATCTGTTGACTGAAATATTGTAGCACTAGAAAAAAAATCTTTTTATGAACTCTATTTTTTAGGACCTCTATTTTTGCCTTTCTTTCCTGCTGGGGGCTTCTGGGAATCATTGATGTCACTGTTAGGAGGTTAGGTTTGTTTAGGGTACTAAACTGAGGTGGTATTTAGCTGGTTCTCTCCGGTTTGGGGGAAACTGGTAGCGGCTGCTGCGGGAGGCTCCACCAACCTGCTCCGACATAATGCGCGACCTTCTGCGCATGCGCTCCATTTGAGCGCGTTCCATTTGTGAACCGGGAGCGAAGGTAAATGAACCCCACTACTGGTACTAATGGGTGCATTTTATGCTTCAGAGGCATGCCACACCCATTTTCACTTAATTTTAAAAAGTTTGAGCATTGCCCAAAACTTAGCAGTTATTAACAGCAGACGATGAGGCAGAAAACAATACCTTGATCAAGGATCTATGAAGGAGAAGACCACACCCTCACCATTACTGGCAGGCCAAGCTTCTGTATATAAGCAGAGAGTAAACTCCACACCTGCTAGCATTGATGATGTTAGCTAGTTGGGTCATGCAATGTCTTCAGGCAAACAACCAACCACGAGGGACTCAGTGGTGGGTTCCGGATTCCATTCCAACCAGTACAGCATGGACGTGTGTGGCGCATGTGCACATGCATGTGACGTGCGCATGCATCATACTTGCCTGTGATGATTCTGCAAGCCTCCGCGACATTCCAGCTGCTCAGCGGAGCATTGCGCAGGCACCGTAGGCAACATGCGTGTGCGTGGAAGCGCCAAAGGCTTAAAGGACAGGTAAGGAGCTTGGACGGGTAGGTGGGCCCTCCTGAGCAGCGTATTAGAATGGTACCTGGTGCTCCAGGCAGGCTCCAGGACGCCCGTAGTGGGGCGTATCTCCTGCAACCCACCCACTGAAAGGACTCCACAGTTCGACCCTGTATCAAATACAGATATTCCCTTCTTTTGGTGACTAGATATCTGAATGGGGGAAAGGGGGCCACGCACAACTGGAAATGAAGACAAACAGTGATGGGGAAGACACACCAGTCTTTAACTTTCTTGGCATGTGCGACAGAAAGTGTAGTCAAAACTGCCAAAAAAAGCTACTAATGCCTACATATATGTGAAATTAATATTTTCTGCATCAGGATGGCCAGTTTTACAATTGCAGGAATATACTAGAGGTAGTTAGGAAGGAAAAAAAAAATCTTCAACTTGTAATTGTTTAAAATCTTGTCAATTTTAGGCCAGATGGGGTACCAATCACTGATTAAGGTCACAGGACAAATCTTGTTAACTTGTAGTTACCATTTAATAGAGAAAGGCATGGGGAAAAAAAACTTCTCAGGTGTTCTGACCTAGGCTTCCTCAGCAGCAGGAAGCCGAGTCCTCGTCCTGATAAACCTCTATTATTTAATTTACAGTGAATTTCTCTCCAGCAAAGTCTTTCCTCTCCCACAGTCTTTCAAGATAGTTCACAATTACCCACCTTTATCAGCTTGGCCAGGCTGATATCTTTCAGACTCCGCAATACTTGGCAAGAATGCTGGAATGAACTAATTGCATCCTGCAAACTCCCCTCCCCTTTCGCTCCTCTTTTATTCCCTATGGGAGGGGCCATTCACCATCCACCTGTGGCCTTATTCCCAAGTCGACCCTTGTTCCTTAGCTGTTCCCTTCATCTGGTAACTCTGTGCATGCGTACACTGGGAACAGGCTCCAGCTATTCTTCACCTTCACTGATGTCTGACTCCGAAGGCAACTGATAACTGTAAGAGAGCCCTGGCCCCATCACTACCTCTGACACAGACCACTTGACAGAGCCTTCCCCAGACTCCAGGACTGGCCCATGTTCCTCCCCAACCTCCTCACTGTCCGTATCTGCTGTCAACTCCCCTGGCCAATGGTGGGCCACAACATCAGGAGGAGACACCTTGTAAACACTCACAAAGGTGTAAAATATTTTATGTTAAGGCTATGTTACAGAGGTGGGTTCCTACCAGTTCGCACCAGTTCAGTAGAACTGGTTCGTCAAATCTACCAGCCGAGGTACCGGGGGATGGTCTTGAGCGGAGTTTATGGATTGAGTTTCAACTCGTCATGCCTGAGGAAGAACCGGTTAGAAGAGGTTCCACCAGTGGACCTGGAAAGCAGGCCACGCATACAGAAGAGATTCCAAATTTTTTTTGAAACCCACCACTGACACACACACACACACACNAAAATCACCATCAGTCAAATGCAAAAAGCCGCACTGCTTGGATCTGCACGCATATTACGAAAATACATTACAACGTCCTAGGCCCCTGGGTGGGGGGCCAATGCCAAATCCGGCGAAACAACTGGCCGCTGTGATACAATTGTATAATAATAATAATAATTTTAATAATAATAATAATATTCACAGCATATCAGAAATTGAAAGAACATCTTTTTACAACCAACTCCCAAAGTAGACTTATTGCAGAATTCTATAGTAGATAAATAGTTGAATATTTGCAACATTATTTTACCTCGTGCATATATATTGCATTCCTTTATAGTAGAGTCCTCCCCATGCTCTCTCTTCTAATTTTAAGATTTATAGAAACAGACTCTGCATAAACTCTACTGAAATTATTTAAGACTTTAATAGTTTGACAAATACTCCTAAATCTCAGGGTTATGTCATCAGTACTTTTTGCTGAGATAAACCAGAGGCCAGTTATTCTTCTAGTGTTCCCTAGTGATGTGTTGTATATATTATATTATTATAATGTTTAGCATTTATACAGCACCTGAGACTCTTATAAAAACTATGCATATATACAATTCTGTAATGGCGAAAGGGGGGGATGAATAAACGACCCCTCATTTTCACTGTGGTGGGAAGCATAACATGTTTTTAAGTGAATGACATTTTTTTGTTATTTACTATTGCAGGGAAGGTAAAACTATTACCGTCTCACTGTAGATAATAACGAATCACCCAAAACAACAGTTACCCTAAGGCAGTGGAGCTATAAGTCAACATGGACTGTTTCCCCCGCAAAGGTCACTCTCTTGATTCAGACATCAGCCTTTTTGAAGGAAAGTGAATTTTTCCAAATTATTAATATGCAAGCACACTTGCCTCACAGGATATGCATACATGTCCTTTTGGCTTGCTTCCATTTATGTCCTTCTGTTTGGATGGCACCCTGCCTAATAATAAAACATGATGGACTTTGATGAGCAGCCAACATTTGTCTCTTTTCCCTACTCTACACTACGTGATCAGACATTGCAATTCAGAAATGCAATCTCAAAAATAAAGTTAAAGCATCACATCTTTGGCAGTCTGTATTGTACTTCATTTCAGTGCAGTACTTGCAGTCCACCCTGAAGCATGTTTCGCTGAGAAAATCAACAATTGCAACAAAACCCTTTAGAAAAATGAAATTTAAAATAACATCTCTGAGGACCACACATCTCAGGGACACAAGGCCCAAGAAAAATATATTGTATTTTTTGCTCCATAAGATGCACTCTCCCCCCAAAAAGTGGGTGGAAATGTCTGTTCATCTTTGGTAAATAGTGGCCGGGCTGCGGTAGCAGAGCCCCTTTACAGTGCTGAACCCCGCTGTCTCTTTTGTGCTGAACCTCTTCTGTCTCTTTTCCACAGTGTAGGAGTCAATAGGCATGAGAGAACATCTATCTGTGGTCCTCTCAGGCTCTGCCTGAAAGATTTTTGTCTTGTTTTCCTCTAGGTCAGGTGCGTCTTATGGAGTGAAAAATACGGTAAATGAAACCTTATGAGAAGTTTTCCTAATTCTTCAGTGCATAGTAACTCTCTAGAACAGTTTACGAAACTATGAGGTTTACCTCCCTTAATGAGGTGCAGACAGAATCCAGGGGAGGTGTGAAGGACCTTTTAGTTGCCTTTGACAATAAATCAACCTTTCCCAAAGTTTCATTGTATTGTTTTCATTTTGAAAACAATTCACATTCCTTTTGGAGTTCATGTTTTTTTAAGGGGAGATGTGTATTTTAAGATTATACTAAAGGGAGGCGTGATGGCCAAATGTTTAGGAAATCCTGCTGTACAAATAGCTTGGTCACCACAGTCAGGGAGGAAAGAGTGTACACAAAACATTTCTAAAGTGTATTTTCAAATATTACTATCCAAAAGAACTTCTTGAAACTGTTGAAGATTTTCTGAGAAGAGACAAAGAAAATAGTGATATTACTAACTTCTTTTTGCTGGAATTATAAAAGGAGCTTGATAAAGACACCACGGATTTCGAGAGGAAGGACAAAGACAGTATGAGAAAGGAGATGTTAGTATTATGTTTGGGGGATCTATAGATTGTTGGGTGAAATAATAAATAATATAAAATTGATTTGTATGATCAAGGTTAAAATAAATGGGTTACTATTTCTGGTGAAGTTTAGTAGTTTGCTGACTAGGAATGTTTTAAAGATTTTATTTGAAGAGAGGAAATGGAAGAATATGTTTAAATACAAATGGAGATATAAATAAAAAGGAAGAATTCAAATTGGATTTAGTATACTGTATATAGTTTGCAGTGGTTATGTTCTTATTTCTGATAAACCTTAATAATATTAATGTTCAAATAAACATGAAAATAAGAATGGGAGATATTGCCTTAGTTTTTTAGCTCATTATTTATCCAATACTCCTTGTGTCATCGTTCAGCCAAACTAAGACAAACATATGCTCTTAGGTCCTCTGGATAAAGAAAGAGTTGTTATGCAATGCCAGTATCATTAAGTGCAGGTGTTTATTTATTTTTTAGATGATACCTTTCTATTCTATCTTTGTTAGAATGAATTACAAATTTATTTGCATATGTTTATACGTTGCAACAAAGCATCAAGTTTATTTTCCTACCTCTGGTCCCATTTGCGTGTCCAACAACTGGAAAGAAAGGAAAAGTATTAAGGAAAGGAAAAGAAAGGAAGAGTATTAAACAACAAGAACAACAACAAAAACAATTTTACATTCATGTTGCATTTGGCTTCATGTGGGTTTCTACAGGCAGAGAAATAGCTTCACTGTTTTCAGTGGATTCATGAGTGGGGAGGGGGAGGTGAGGTTTGAAGGCTTCATTTAATTCCATAGAAATGCAAAATGATGGCAGTCATTCTTTCCTAACTAAAATCAGGATGACAATAAAATGTCTCCTTGTTGTGGCTCTTTGCCAGTTATGTCATTGTATTTCTCTAGAGCTTTAGAGAAAGAAAGAGTTGCTGGCTTTTTAGATGCAGTGTTATGGCAATAAGCTCTTTGATTCCTTGACATTGCAATGAGGCTCTGGCTTTCTGACATTTCAATAAACAGTATTCAAAAATAACAAAGCAATAACAAAGAAGAGCCAAGGTGGTGCAGTGGTTAAATGCAGCACTGCAGGCTACTGCTAGATCAGCAGGTCAGCGGTTCAAATCTCACCGGCTCAGGGTTGACTCAGCCTTCCATCCTTCCGAGGTGGGTAAAATGAGGACCCAGATTGTTGGGGGCAATATGCTGACTCTCTGTAAACCGCTTAGAGAGGCCTGAAAGGCCTATGAAGCGGTATATAAGTCTACTGCTATTGCTATTGCTAATTAAAGTTTCTGTTGCTTAAAAGATTTCCAGAATCTTGTAACAGCACAGTATAAGGAATATCAAGTAGTCTACATCAGTAAGATGCAAAGGAATGCAGTTTTAATTTGGTTCACTTTTCTGTTTGGTGACTCCCTTTCTTGTTGCTGAGCACCCTATTTTGCCTACTCTCTTGATTTATGCACCAGTTGCAAATGTGAAAATTGTAACTTCCATAACTTTATAGAAATGATGTCTAAAGAAATAAATGTGGACTTAAATCCACACTTTATGGATGGGAGAAACAGGTTTGTCTGTAGACATTCTAAAAATCATTGTATAATAAAAAAGTACTCATGCAAATATGCAAACACCTCACTTTATAGGTTAATCCTTATTAAAAGCAGTCCCTTATATGATTCTCAAGTTACAGATCATTTTCAAGAAACTGCTGGCACATCACATTTTAATTTTGCCCACTATTTTAGACAAAAAAAAAAGCTGAACTGAATTTGTCAGCATTAAAGGAAAATACGGTAGATTAAACATATTTGCTTCAGCTAGGCTTTTAAACTTAATAGAGTAGACTAGAGAATCTGGAGCCAACGCAATACTAAAACAAATAACTAAATGAATCTCAGAGCACTGTTGTGGAATCACCCCAGGTTCTATTTTATTTACCTGCATGGTCTAAAATTACCTTTCCATTTCACAAATGTTTTGACTGCTTGGCAATACCTGCACATAGATTACAGGACTAAGACTAAAATTATATGACAGGTTGGTCAAGAATAGTTGCTGAGCTTAAAAAAAGGTTCATTTCTATTTTTCTCCTTTTTGGGATGGGTTTGAAGGGAGACAAAGGTTCTCTCTCACTTTTGAGTTATACTTCTGGGTCTGAAGAAATAAAAGCCTTCAAACAAATTATTTTCCTTCAGATTACTATAAAAATAAATCAACATCCAAATGAGCACTGTTTAGCAAAGAGGCGGAAAGAAAGAAAAATACCAGATTTGCTGCTGAAGGAAAGATTGGGAAAAAATAAGATTCAACTTATATTCATGCCATTGATATTGCCATCAATCAGTGGCATACAGCTGTCTTCAGATGGCAATATGGTGACATTATTAATTAGAATTCAAACAGTCCATCCAGGATATTTTAACAGCAATTGTACAGAAATGACAGAGATGAAATTTCAACTAGCATGAAGATCAGGGTTTGAGAAAATATTCCCTCTACCACTTTTCTTCATGCCGATAGTTTTTAACAGGCAAAGAGGAAAGCCAATAAAAGTTGACAACTCTTCATTTATTGTGGATACTTCCCTCATACAATTATTATTAAGAAATGTCCATGTTAACATGATTAAAGAGTAGTTGTGCGAACATTATTCTGGCAATCTTTTTAGTAAGTAAATGTCCTTGGTTATAGAAATACGTTTCCATTCACTACCAAACATACAATTAATACCATTAACTGCTATTAATGTCAAGGTTGCCATCATTCAAGACTGTATTAACAACACAGCTTTATAGCACATCTAGTATTCAATGTAACTTGCTAGAAAAGGTAAAAATGGCAAGTCTGCAGCAAGATAAGGGAAGCAATAAAGTGGTAAATAAGATGAAAAACTGAAGATGTGGGACCAAATTACACTGCTAACACAATACTAGAGAAGCATATTATTGAAAATGATTACGAATCTACTGTTGTATACAGCATTGTTATTGCTCTTGCTTTATATTTAATCATTCACATCAAATGAGGTAGGTTAAACTTTTGATTCTATGTCTGTGTTAGTATATGCATAAATTGGACTACTGAAATTAATGCAGGAGTTGATCCAATCCTTTATGTTACAGCCTCCTAAAAAGGTAGACGAAAGTTAAAATAATGTAAAATGAGCTGATGAATAAGTTCAGCAGAAGATACCCAACATGAAGGCACAGCAGAACACATTTAGCGTCAGTTTCACTTAGTTTAGAATTACTAAAGTCGTAATGCGGCTGACTTTAAATGTGACTTTAAATGTGACTTTAAATGTGATAATGCACACTAAGGGAAGTTGAACCTATTGAGCTGGTGGATAGAATATTATTATTATGACAGGTTACCCTAAACAAATACAATTTAAATGTTGTGTATTCCCAGCAGTCAAGAAACAAATAAAGAAGAGTTAAACCTGTTAGCATCAAAAGTCATTGCAACAATTTCCTTCAACATCTCCATATTTCCCATATATCAAGGTAGTAAGTAATGCACAATGATGTAATTCTATGCATAATCAGATAAGATAGGGACAGTCACCGATTACAAGTCCGATGGTACATCAGAAATCTGAATCAGTCTATGGTCTTCACCTGAAACAAATACCCATCTCTAATGCTTTACTAATTAAACAGTTCACCACCAGAAATCAAGAATTTTTAGTTCTGGTATTTCATTTATAGGGTTTCCAAATCATAAATATCTCTTTGAATTTTTTAAAAATATTAACTTTTTAAAAGGAATTCAAACCTTTTTTTAATGTGTTTATTCATGATTTTTTGTTTTTATTATGTTTTAATCCATGATGAATGGCAGTATACATATAAAGCCATTTGCAAAAACAAAAGTAGAAGGGAAAAAAGATACAAATTAAAGATACAATGCAACAAGTAATGAGCCCTAGTGCCAGACAGAAAAATAAGTGATATCTCAATTACCAAAGACAATCAACCCACATCCAAATAAGTCTGAACAGAGACCTGTGGGTTTCATAGAATAAGAATTCAATTCTTATTGTGGGAACAATGTTCCTAATGAACATTGCATAGTACCTGGAGTGATATTAAATGAAGAGAATAAATATTTTGAAGAGAGATAGACATGAAGAAAAATAAATAAAAATGAAACCCTAATCCCAATGGCACTATAAAACACCTGAAATAGCAAAACACCAGGTAATATTGCATAGTGAAATTCTAGTTTGAAGCTGAATTGCCACCTGTCATTAGAAATGACTGGGAGAATCCATATAAACCTTGACAAACAGAGGGACCAATGCTTGGCTGTTCACACATTTCAGAATGAATATAATCTGGTCATCCCTATCATACAGAGACCAATTATTCTCAGTAAATCCTGACCCACATGTCTTTGTTGATTGTCAAAAACACAGAGATTTAGAATTTTTTAAACTACATAAACTCATACTGGGCATGCTGCAAAGTAGTATAAGATGGCCTCCCTTAAGGAACATAGGGAACATAAATTAATCTTCACACACAGTTGAGACAAACAGAGCTTTTATTGATCAACTTTGAAAGTAGAATGAATTCTGATCATTTCCAGGCCAAACTTTCAGTGCATTGACTGAAAGCTGTATAATAGGTTGGAAACAGGTGTGGCCTTTCCCATTGTTTTATATTACCCATGGTAAATGCAAGCCATTGTTGCACTTCAGCTTTTGAAAAACGAAGGAGCATTGATAGGATTTAAAAGGGGGGGTAGGGGAACCCCAGGAGAATCATTGGATTCTCACAGGTCATTATTGCTGATGATTTGGATGCATGGTTACATTACTTTTATTAAGACAGGTAACTTTGTTCTCAACTATTGATTCCTTTTGAAGAGACAAGACAAAAATTTAATAAAGATTGTACAACAGTACCAATAGCACTTAGATTTATGTACCACTTCACAGTGCTTTACAGCCCCTGTAAGCAGTTTACAGAGTTAGTATATTGCCCCCAACAATCTGGGTCCTCATTTTACCGACCTTGGAAGAATGGAAGACTGAGTCAACCTTAAGCATGCTGAAATTTGAATTGCCAAATTGCAGGCAGTCGGCAATCAGCAGATTTAGCCTGATGTACTGCATTCTAACCACTATGCAATCACAGCTCTTAATATTCTTGTGTGAGAGAATTGTGTCTTTTATTTATTGAATTATTTTCTATGGCTGCCCATCTCAATCAACGACTCAGGGTGGATTATGCCCAGATAAATTCAGTTACAGAAGAAATGCTATCAAAATTGATCAAAAGTATTTACTGGGAATGCTGAAAATTGTTCTGCAAATATATTTGGAGATCTTATTTTGGTTCTATAATTCTCCTAGGAGATCATCTCATAAATGATTTACTTATTGGTAGCAAATGATACTGTAATTGAGATACTCACCCGTTCCATGTAGGATGTTTCTTTGGCTCCAGCTATTGGGTGGTCTACTTTCTGTCCAGGATTTAATTCTGCAACAGAAACAGGATTGTGGTGTCATTCATAAAATTACTTAATATTGGGTCAAGCCATCAGTCTTCAATATTCTTTGCACTGGTTGGCAGAAGCTCTTCTAAATTATAAACGGGATAGGATCTACCAGACCCAGGCTACCAAAATCAAGATAATTACTGGCTATTAGTAAACAATCAGTGTTTTCTGTATTTTTTTGCTACTATCTATTGATTGTCCAGATCTTTGCAACAAATCTAACAGTCTTATAAGAGCTTTTCTTAATGGGATCTGAAGGGATGGGGGGGGGGGGTTAAAATTCAAATTATTCATGGGAAGATCTGGAGATGCAGGAGTTGAACCTGAAATATTTTGCATGTGGTATGTGTACTGCCAATGAGCTGCTATGTTTTCCAATATACTGTATAGCTATAGCTGTCCTTTACATGGCACCTAGGAGCTTGCCTGTATTCAGTTAATGTAGGAGAAACAATGCCAGAGCCTGGGGCTGGGGTCAAAAGAGAAATCAGCCTAGAATTTCTACATAACCAAAAATGCTTAATCTAACCTCTCTTGAATTCCATTAACCCTTATCTAGCACCGAAATAGCACTAACCATTAGTTGAATAAATACCTGTGCATAGGCATGAATTTTAATAAATCAGTTTAATTGGAACTTCACATGTGGTCCTAGTGTTTTCCTACCTGACATTTCATAATGAAATGGGATCCCATTTTTCATAGTGTATATTCTTTTGTAGGATGCTATTCCAATCTACCTGTTGAAGCCAGGTTGATTCGCTAAGATGCATTCTCTACATATTGTCACAAGGAGAACTATGGAAGGTTGAAACTGCCATAGGCACAATACCACTGGGAAACATAGCTTTCCCTTCCTGAACTTATCTGAAATTTAATTATAGTCCCAGCTGTAGATATCCAGATGCTGAAGTTCTGGTGGTCCTACAATTCTCCCTACATTGTTGTTCTCCCCAATTAACTTGTTGTTTTTGCACATTTTCTTTCTCCAGACTTGCTGTCACTTTCTATGAATCCTCACTTACATGCTATACTTTTAAGTTCTCTAGCCATACAGATAGGAAGGATGTCAATCATAGGCAGCAAGAACAATGTTGAGAGATTACAAGAGTTGCTGTCAAACTGTGTTCCTATTATGCTAACCCTCAGAGAGTGAGCCATTAATCTCCATGGTTTAGTCCCACCTTTGGATAGGTAGTGTTTCTAGATCTAGAAATTTCATCCACAGCATGGCCATAGCAGTTAATAATGGGGAAAGTATTCTAATAGACCTAAATTAATACAGGTAGTCCTCAACTTACAACTACAATTGAGCCCAACATTTCTGTTTCTAAGTGAGACATTTGTTAAATGAATTATGTCCCATTTTATGACCTTTACTGCTACAGTTGTCAAGTGAATTCCTGCAGTTGCTAAGTTAGTAACATGGTTGTTCAGTGAATCTGGCTTCCCCAATGCTTGTCTCAAGGTTACAAAATATGATCACACAAAACCCAGGATACTCTGCAACTATCATAAATTTGAGTCAGTCGCTAAGCATTTGAATTTTGATGACATGGCCATGAGGATGCTGCAGTAGTTGTAAATGTGTAAGGGTCATAAGTCACTTTTTTGGGTGCCATCAAGGTACCGCATTTCTCAACCTGCATTTCTCAACCTCAGCAACTGTAAGATATGTGAATTTCATGATTCAGAATTCTGGGGATGAAGGGAGCTCTTGTCCAACAGTTGGGGCACATTAGTCTGACAAATTTTATATAGTATGTACAGGTAGTCCTTGAGTTACAATTCATTTGGTGATCTTTCAAAGTTACAATGGCACTAAAACTTAATGACTGTCTTTCTCACTTACGACCCTTAGTCATGTGCTCAAAATTCTGATGGTTGACAACTGGTTCGATTTATGACGGTTGCAGTGCACCAGGCTCATGAGATCATGAGCACTTTTGCAAACTGGTGACAAGCAAAGTCAATGGGGAAGCCAGATTTACTTAACAATCATGGTATTAACTGAACAACTGCAAGAAAGGTCATAGTGCATTTTGCAGTTTCACAATTCTATATCAAATCATGTCTTGATGTAGCAGATTAAAGATGGGGAAGGAAGTCCACTAGTCATAAATGTTTGCTAAATAGCATATGGAAGCTTACACATGAGTAAATTGGAATTATGTAGATGTAAAATGGAAAATGGGATCTTAGCGAAACATAGGACAGAACAGATGCTGTCCAATGCATCCAAAGTCTACTAAATTGTAAATTATCAAAGTATGACATCTCAGCTCCTATCTCCTTGTTTACTATTCTCTGTCATGTTCCCATTATACTCATAACAACAACAACAACAACAACAACAACCTGAAGACTTCAAAAATGTTTTTAATTTCTTAAATAGATTTGTCATTTCTTCCAGTTCCTCTTCCAGGACTGATAGTAAAGTGAATTAAAAAAAACAAGCACTGAAATCTATTTTAGAAAATATGTAACAGCACTAGGAATCAGACATTGTGGGTACTATAAATCAGATTTCAGAAGCAGGTATTAAAATGAATAAGCAAAAAGCATTTTCATTAATTCTGTCCTAGAAATCTACCATCCCTAATCATCTTATTCAGAAATAGAAATTTAACCAAATAGACTTCTCATTGTTTATATGTACAAAATAGTGGAAAGGCTAATTTCATTAATTTTTTATCCATATTCTTTTTAGTAGTAAAAAAATGCATTAATTTCCATTTTATTAACAATAATGAGCTGCTTTACAGAGAACAATAGAAAGTCTGCATTTATCTCTAGCCTATTTTATTTTCTGTGTATTAACTGACTACAACTGATGAACACAAATATTTGCAATGAGCTTCCAAAAAATGGAGGAGATGGATTGTTAAACTGGGACTATAACCATCTTAGACAGATCAACAAAATCTTTAATGGAAAATAACATAATTTCCAAAATATATTTTAGGACCAGTTTCTCTATCAGAGAAAACATCTAAGATTCTTTTCTGAAATATAATGCTTTGTGTCAATATAGCACATGTTACTGTGAAAATAACACCAGTGCTAAGGCAATAGGTAATAGAGTTTTGAATGATTCCCTCCATAGATTTCTGAAATAAAAAGCTGAAGAACTCAGTACTTTATTTAAAATTCATTTTGAGAATAAATTATTTCTATTGGATTAATCTTTGTAGGTATATAATAAAATAGATTTTTACATTTGAAAACTTGTTCAGCAAAAACCATTAATCCATTCAAGTATTTAGGTCTTTTTCTCTCATGCAACATGCTAATACATTACTTTTTAAATGATTCCATCATAATCATGCCTCTGGTACGACTATGCTGGCTTTCTAAAGTTAGTAAAATATGGTAGTTTTGGATGGAACTTTCAGTGTCTTGTTGAATAGAAACAGCTAAAAGCTTCAGGCTGACAAGTACAAGTCAACTTCAAGCACAGAATCACCAAGCTAATGTACACAGATTACTCAGATTTGCATTATGTGGGTTTTAACTCACAGATTAAAAAATAAATTAAATATGTTTTTGCATGCTTTTACTAAAAACAAAAATCCAGTAACAAGAATGAATTTGCAATTTCACTTCCTGAGAAGACAACTCCCCAACATTGTTTTTTGCCTCAATATTTTTTTCAAAGGTCTTTTAAATCTTTCTTGCTGACAAAGTTTAGGATTTATTCATTCCCACTGAAATCTTTAAACATTGCATAAAATGTTACAAATGCTACTTGAACTGCAAACGTTTACACTATATTTGTAAAGATATCTAGCAGTCCAATCTCCATTCCAAATGGCAGAAGTTTGTGAATAGACATGTTACTAAACTCAGCACATAAGAAAGGAATAAAGTGTTGTTCAATATACTTCTGGCTTTATAGAATTGATTATTTTTTCAACTAAAATTCAGACTTCACATTACCAATTGTAGAAGAATCTGTATTAAACCCACTAGAAGAGCCCATGGACACAACAGAAGGTATGACAAGCAAAAACAAATCTACCCACAATGACAATATTCAACATTCCTGTCTGCACACAGGTCTTATATAAATCTGAGCCCAAATGTACTATTACGCTATCCTTAAAATGGAACATACTGCAGGGAAAACATCTCTTTGAATTCCAAAGCTGTTTCTCTTACGCTCCCAGCTCTACCTCTTATCTCCCAAACACTGAAGTACAGCAAAAGTCCAAGAGATGATGTCATTATAGGCCTGTATGTATTCCTGCCTGAGCATCTCACCACACCGAGAACCAGCAGCAAATCAAATGAGGTTAGTTATTGGGTCCTTCTCCAAATGTTCGTTTTCTCTCTCTCTCTCTCTCTCTCTCTCTCTCTCTCTCTCTCTCTCTCTCTCTCTCTCTCTCCCTCCCTCCCTCCCTCCCCCCCCCACACACACGAAAGCCAGGTGAAAGAGACTGACATCTCTAAACTGGCAACAGGCTGAAATTACCCCCTATCCCACTCCCCAGGTGTCCCCAACCTATTCTCACCAACAACACTGCGGTGCAATGCTACACATGCAGCTGATTTCTGAATAATAATTATTTATCTCTCCCAATACCATCCCCCTTAGTTCTAAATTACACTCTCTTTGCAGTAGGAAACACTATCCATAATGGAGACTTTAGCATCCTTGACAAGTCTGGCAAATAGGACAGAAGAATCAAATGGAGGGAAATATGAGGGCTGGATAAGTGAAGGAAGGAAAGAAGGAAGGAATTGCTACCTCCAGAAAAGCTCTGTGGGTTGCTGGCTTCTCCTGCTGCTCTCGCTGCTGCCTCTGTCACAACCGACCAGCTGATATTTACCTGTGAGGTAATGCACACTGTGTAAGGTCACCACGCACCCACTTGAACAATATACAAAGCAGGAGGGGCGCACAGAGATCCAACTGCTTGCTGTTGCCGCTTACCGCTCTGAAGAGGGGAAGATGTACCGCGCACAGGCTGCTGCTGCTGCTGCTGCTGTTCCCGCTGCTGCTGCAGCTCCTGGCACATGCTGCAGGTGTCATAGCTGAAACTGCCCTGCTTCAGAATGTACTCATTTTGCTTCTGCACATGCCCAGAGCACCTCGTGCAACCCAAACGAGCATGTGCCAAGCTCAGGCGCATGCCCAGAAGGTACCTGAAGTCTCCGCGAAGTCATTGCCCTCATCAGCCCTTTGCCCTGAGTTCCGCGGGAGATCCATTCACTTTGCCCAAAAAGCGTCCTAGTGATGCGGAAGAAACGGAGGGACAGGGAGGAGCTGAGCAAAAAGATGACGTATTGCAAAAGCAGAGGAGCAGAGCGAGGGAGAAGAGTCGGCCAAGGGGATTCGCCGAGGCGAGCGGTCTGGCGGAGGACCCGGGAGTTTGGAGGGGATGCGCAATGGCGCGGAAAGAGAACATCGGTTGAGGAGGGGAGGGGAGGGCGGAATCGCGAGGACATGGGAAATGGGGCTAATCGGAGGAAGATCTAGGAGGGTTGGGTTTTTTTGTTTTTTTTGCAGGGGAGACAAAGGAGGGATGAAAAACTGGGCGACGGAGCTTGGTCTGCATCTGAAAAGAAGCGGGAGGGGAAAATAGACGCGCGGTAGATGTGGGAGAGCGCAAAAGCCCGGGAAGTAAACGAGCGGAAGGCAAAAGTGAAGGCGGTTGGGGTTGCTTCGGGTGAGCCTCGTTATAGGACATATTGGCGTCAGGTTTCTGATCTCCCGTCTGGGCTTCCAAATCTGGCACAAAGAGAAGGGAAGGGGAGCCCTGACGCGACATGTTCTGGGAGCCCCCGGCTCTCCGCTAGGGAGAAGGATCGGTTCCCTGTTCGGCAAAAGAGTTGCTTTCGCGATTCCATTTGTTCCTTTAAGCCTTTTGTTTTCCCTTCTTGGGAGTTTTTTTCTCGCTCGTCCTTGCCAGCTAAAAACGACTCCTTGGCTAAGGTCAGAAACTCTGGCTCTAGGAACAAACGGTGCCATTAAGGTGCTTCCCCCGTCTGACAATAATAGCTAGATAACTCTTGAAGAGACGTCATCGTTTGGAAAGACTCAGCAAGAGAGAGAGGGTTACATCGGTAGGTAAAGATGAATTGGTGAAAGAAGAAGGGCACTTGCTTATACTGGCATGGTTTTGTTAGTTGCTATGCATTATCTGAGGAAAGCTAATAGAAAAACGAAGATGAGATTTTTCTTTGAGGCTGTTCACTTTTCCAAGCAGAATTTAAACCACCCATGTGAGAACGACATATTTGTGAGGCTGGTAGTAGATAGAAAACTTGTGAAGCTACCTTAATATCTGCTAGATAGAAACACAGGATATAACAACATATAGATATAACAACAAGAAGTCCCTTTCTCGTGTCACTCATTTAAATGCAAAAGGGCATATTGGCTGCATATTTATACCCTATTATAAAATAACTAGCCATCTATAGGCATTCCAGGATAAAGTGGCATTCTTAACATGCTTACAAATCTTTTATTGCACAGCTGTCCTGCCTTACTGAATTTTATGAGGGATTTAGAAAATAACATCTTCCATTTATAGCCCAGGCTCGCACTGTCTTGTACATGTCCACTTTTTCATTGCTTTTCCTTCCCATAAAAAAATCTTTTAAGAAAATAGAACAGTGGAAGGCCTTCTGATTAATACAAGAAAGACTGCTATTTATGTAACTTATCTGAAATTGCAAAATGCTGTCAATTAATATACATGGAGGTTTTTGTGATTTTTTTTCCTATTAGCAATAAATTACCAAATACCAGAACTTCTGCCTCTTATGCTAATGCTTTGCACCACAAATTATGAGTATAGAAAAAGGGATACGTAGGCACTAGTCCAGAAGTAATACCCATTTGGGGAGGTTTGTGTTGTAATTTTTAAAGGATGGATTCCCCCCTCCCCCCAACTGAACAAAACTTTTCTGCCTGCCTGGTCCTGTGTAGATTGGTTTTAACAATTAGAAAAGTAAAGCATTCACCAAAAGCTTGTGATAAAGTCTGGTGTGGTGGTTAAGGTGTTAGCCTGGAAACCAGGAAACAATGAATTCCATGTCCTCCAAAAGTATTAAATCCAGCTGTGTGACTTTGGGATAGAGTAGGGAAGGGAAGAGATAAAAATCAAATGATAATAATAATAATCTTTTCTTTAAAAGCATACTATAGCCCAGTACCAAAGGTGCTTTTTCAAGAGGTAACTGGACTTTCTAGTTTTTCTTTAAAGACATTTCATTTCTCATCCAAGAAGCTTCTTCATCTCTGATTGGATGGTGGGGAATGGAAGGATTTAAGCTCCCCACCATCCAAGCTTCTTGGATGAAAAGTGAAACATCTTCAAAGAAAAAACAGAGTCCAGTTTTCCTCTTTAAAAAAAGCACCTTTGGGACAACCATGATCTGGATGACTGAGAATCTTCTTGGACATATGATGCTTTCTGATCTGGTGGAGGGAATTTCAGAGTTAGATATAAAACTGTCAAGATCTTCATGGATGGAAACTGTTATCATTTTATCAATTTGAATGAAATTTCTTGTTTTGCAATGCTTCTGGTGGCAAGCTCATACATTTTTTATTTTTACCATTCCTTGTTGCTTTACACTTTGATATATGAATCATAAGATTCTTTGCATCCTCTCAGCTGTTGCAGAAAGAGAGAGCAGACTGTTCTTTTTTTTTCTTATGGCCACCTCTAGATACACTGGACTTAAATTCTTCTGGAGAAGGTGATATTGAGTTATTTTACGATAATTACGAATATAGATAATTCTCCACTTATCTGTTTTGAACACTTCAATTACTATTTCCAGATATTATTTTCCTCTGTGAGGAAGATGGGTTGTTCTTAAATTAGATAGATAGATGATAGATAGATGATAGATAGATAGATAGATAGATAGATAGATAGATAGATAGATAGATAGATGATAGATAATAGATAGACAGACAGACAGATAGACAAGCTTTTCTTAAAAAATACTTTTCTTCCATGTCCAGATTTAAATTACAAATTTCTGTTTAAGCATTTAAATAACAATAATTTTTAAAAATGACTCCTTGGAAAGATGATGAATACTTTTTAATAACATTAACATTAACTATATATAAAAAGACTTATATCCTATTAAAAAGGATATTACTGTCATGAATTAGCTTTTCAGCTGGACTGTATCCCAAGTTCACAGTTTTGTACTTAATAATATTGGCAAAGTGGAAATGTGTTTTCTGGGAAAGATGTACATTTTACAAATCTTGAGGTTATTCAGATTCATCACAAATTTTCATACATTTGTATATTCAGGAATTAACATATTTAAAAAATAATACTGGAAGCAGCCCTTTGCCCTGTCCACAAAACACTGTTTGGAGCCCACTAACAACTTGGAAACCAATCTTTAGCTAAGTCTCATGATAGTTCTAGATAATTGGCTAATATCTCAATCAACTTAAACACACCATGGTTCACTTCAAATGTTCTTTCTAGAGAATTCTAGGTAGAGAGTGCAATATATAGAAGATTTTTTTTGTATAACCTTTAACTTTAATGCAGTTTCACTTTTCATAAAATTACCTTTCACTATGTTGCATGTGTCCTGTTACATTGTGCCATATATAAGGATCCTAAGACCCACCTTATAACTCCTTACCTCGTAAAACACCCAGGAAATGTTTATCTTTTTAATGATTAACATGGTTTAGTTTTCTTGAATGAAGCCAAATTGCTTGTAAAATTAGACACAGTCTGATTGATGAATCTGTTACCAATTGTAGAATTCCTATCCTGTTTTATGTTTTCATTCTTATTTAATTTTTAATATGTTTTATTTTCAACTTTGGTCTGTGACCATAGTAAACTCTGTCTGTCTGTCTGTCTGTCAGTAAGTCACACCGGCCCCCTTTTCTGCGATTTCCAAGTTTAGTTGTGATTCATAGTTGTCAAATTGGGATCAGTGAGTTTCAACATTAAAAAAGCCTTTGTTCTCTCTGTCTCTCTTTTTTAAAAAAAACAAAGTACATTATAATATGTAATGATGAAATCTGTGCTAATGATGAGAATCTTTCAGCAGAAATTTCAGTGGGATTCCATGCTAAATAGTGGAAGCTGAAGCTTTTGTCACTAAATATTAATTGACCTTCTTTTCATGACTTATACCTCATTCCACCAATTAATTTAAGTCAAAAGAAAACAATTAAGATTTAGAAGACATGTTGTAAGCCACTCAAAGTTATGAAATTGGCAGCCATATGTAAATATAGATACAAGAAGTTGTAGATATAGTATGTATACACACACACACAAACACATAAATGCAATTCAACTATTAATAATCCAATTAATATAAAAAATAAGCATATAAATGAGTTTATGTAGTCCAAATTCCTAATTAGTCCTTCAAGTAAATCTTTCAGAGGCAGAATACCCTTTTGAATATAGGAGAATTGAGATTGTCATGTTGTTGTAATTGAGAATATTTTTGGCCATGTAGTATCAGCCCTTTGATAACTATGAAAGTGCCCTATCAATTTTCTTGTCCATTAATTTATTTCAAAATATATTCATTGAAAAAAAATGAGTTTCTTAATGAATTAATATGTGAAATAATTCATGTTCAAAATGGAGCCACATGGTAATACTGCATTTTTAATACTGCTACAATTAAATCAAGAAATAGCTGAATAAGTCAAGAAATTGATTCTAAACTTACGTCTGTAGACATTTCCAGATGGACAGCTCCTAGTGCTGCAAATATAATTATAATTTGCAACTCATTCATGTTTTCCTTCTGAATAGTATATGCATGTGCAACATTGTGTGTATATGCAAAAAGAATAAGAAGCAAAAAAAAGTGATGGGAAGAAAATGTAACTATTTAAATGAGACAAACTTGAATAATGCCTCATTTGAAAATGCCTCATGAAGTTGCTGATAAGCCATTTACTGAGCTAATTCAAAAACCATTTTAGGGCTGAGGTGTATATATAAAGAATAGCATTATAATAAATATTTTTCGCATTTTCATGTGTAATTATTATTTAATTTCCGTAACTTCAAG